CCTGCTGCTTCTGGGACATTTGGTTGACCCGCAATCTACCGTTATTCTCCTTGAATGCTGGGTACCCCAATTCTCTGAGTGTACCGCACTTCCCTCTGATCGTAGCCCAGTTCTCCAAAGCAGAGATCCCGTGTGTGTCTTCTACTTTTTATGAAAACATTTACTATTTTCATCTTCTTAACTACTTTTTAAAAACTATCTTTATTTTCATTTGGTTATGGAAAACGGAAACATACAGAAAAGTTGTAAAAATTAAACAGTGGGCATCCACGCGCCTGGCCCTGGATCTGCACCTGGCACGGCACTCACTCTGCTTGATCGGATACTCACCCCCGAGCCGGCCTCTGTCCGTACATCTTATTTCACACGCACTGCAGAAGGTGCAGCAACCGTGCACTTCACTCACACACTTCAGCAACGTGCTATTAACTCGAGTTCAGCATTTGTTTTGTGTGTGAAATGAGACAAACCTCAAGGGTATCATTTGATGAAGTTTGCCAATCCATCAGCACAGGTCACCCAGGCCCCTCAAGGCCCAGGGGATGGTGGGCTTCTCAGACCCCACCAGGACCCTGGACTTGACCATCCTCTCCGGAACTCTTCTGCCTTCCCCAGTCAATTTCACCCAATCCCCCAGAGATGGCCACTGCTGAGAATTTTTAAAAGCATAAACGGGTTCTGCTTGTTTTAGAACTCATTTAGATGGAGTCATACAGCAAGTCCTCCTGTGTCAGCCTCTCCCACCCCGCGGGTGTTTCTGCGACGCGTTCCTGTTGCCATCGTGCGTAAGAATGCCGCCCTCAGTGCTGGTGTGGATTGCACTGTACTGCTGCGTCAGACTGTTTGTCCATCCACCGGCTGACGGACACATGGGCCATTCCGGTTTTGTCTGGCATGACACAGTGGGAGAAGTGTGCCTGCCGTTCAGAGCCCTCAGCACCCAGAAGCTGAGTAATCACCAGGAGCCAAGTATGTCACTGGGAGCCCTGACTTTTAGGGGACTCTTCTTCCTGTTGAGCTGAAATCTGCTTCCCTGTCACGCTGGCTCAGTGGCCCCAATCCAGCCTTTGGGGAAATGCGTGCTGGGGAAAAGCCCTTCTGACACCCGAAGTCAGTTCCCCAGGCTCAGCGTCCTCCTTCCCGCAGTCCTTTGTCCTGAGGCTTGGTTTCCAGGCTCCAAAAGAGCCCTGGGTGAGAGTCCTCATCTGAAACCCCTGGGAAGGAAACACCCACTTTGGACTCAGCAGTTTCAGCCACAGCTTTTCCCAGAGCGGCTTCCTGACATCCCAGGGTCAAGCTCCACCTCTGAGCAGTGACCCAGGACAGGACCCCGCGCTGACATCGTCTTGGTCAGGAAGGCAAAGGACAGTGAGAAACAGTTTCAGGGAAATGTTTAAAAAGACCCAGTGTTGAGGAGCAGAGAGACTTATTTTTGATAGGGAACTAAGCCTTCCTGGACAAGAACGTTCAGGGGAAATTCCAGCCACGACGGGCGATGGATTCGTCACTGGGGACTGAGAAGTGCAGGGGGATTGTGATAAGAGGACAAAGGGAAAGGCTTTTGGTAAATAATAGCAGAGAGCTGATTATCAGGATAGTCCGCCAGCAGCAGGCCGGTGTGGCAGGTCACAGGTCTGCAGGCCAGGGAAGGGGCAGGAGGGCCGGCAGCACCTGGAGGACCGGCAGGAGGGCGGGCACACACAGGCCTGATCTGAGCGTGTGGCAGGCCAGCTGGCAGGAAGTGGGCGCCTCACACAGGGGCCGGCACAGCAGAGCTGCGTGGTGGGGGCAGGGGTGGTGGTGGCCAGGTGGCAGCAGGAGGTCCCACAGCCCTGGGTGGGCAGCAGGTGGTGGGGACGCAGCATGGAGCCAGGGCAGGCCACGGTTGTCCGGGCAGCAAGCCCCCTGGTGTCTTCTCCTCCTCTGCCCTCTCCTGTTGATCTTTCTGGGTTTTCTTGTTGAGGTTACTCAGTTCAGGAAACTCTGAGCTGGGGGCTCCCGCAACTCAGCAGACAATGTGTTTCCTGGAAACAGAGCCAGGGGTAGCTGGTGAAGGGCTGTCATTGAGGCCAGGGGCCCGCCTCATGGATGTTCAAAGTCCCCCTGTTGTAAATGCCATCTGGAATTCACACAAGCACAGTCACACTCACTGCACCAGGGGCCCCGTTTTGTCTGAGAAGCTCAGTCATCATCAGGGTCTTCCCAAGTAACGAGAGCCAAGCTACTGAGCTCCATGTTGTGGAATGATAATGATGATTACTGGGGGAACAATAATGCACAGAGGTCTAGTGCTGTGCCAGGCTGTGTTGGCATCTTACGGGGTTATCTCATTCATCTTTGCCAGCATTCGGGGTGGCCGATACCCCACTTTACAGATCATGCAAGTCCTAGATCATTTGCATGACGGGTGCGTGTCCGTGCCACTGCAGACACGCAGGGATCTGGACTGCTTAGTTTCACTCTGGAATCCGTGGTCATTACCACTGTGACAAATTATATGGGGCTCAGGGTTCAATAAGTGACTCATCCTGAAGTCCTGAACCAGCTGGGATGGAGAAGATGGATGAAAACATCGGCCACGTCAGCCTCTGTGGAGCATGGCTCAGGCATGTGACCACAGTGGGCTTCCTGACACCACACCTCAGAGGTGCCCACTTCACACGAGTAGCACTAGTGGCCACAGGCCACCTCCTCTGCAGACGGAGCCCAGGAGGACCCATCACGGAGGGGGCCTGAGCTACTCCTGTCTAGTTCCTCTCCCACGCTGAGGGTCTGATCAGTCTCACCCCTGCAGAGGCAGCGTCGGGGAGAGTGAGGAGCTGGCGTGAAATTCCAGGATGCTCCTGCACTTGGGAAGCAGTGGGCAGGAGTGTGGATGGCACGTTCCTCCTCACACTCCAGCTCTGTTCTCTTGACGGATTGGCCACTGCGCTTTATTCTACGGTGGTGTTACACGGTAGGGGGATGAGCCGTCTCTCAGGACAGAGCTACTCCCTCCATCCCAGGCAGCTCCCAGGGGCACCCTCTGCTCCCGTGTGGGTCCTCCTGTGCCTGCTGGTGGTGGATACAGGAGATTCCTGCCAAGGAGCCTTTGGACAACTCAGACACCACGTTAATGAAATCCCCTCCCAGGCTGAAGACCAAGTGGGGTCTCAGAGCTGTGGACAGAACTTACAAGTCTATGGATCCAGAGCCGATCGGTGGCCATGTGGTGGGAGTGACCTTAAGGCCTAGGGACAAGCCGGGTGAGGCCACAAGTTCAATCCTGTCACAGGCAACTCCTTTCACTACTATAGAATCACACTTAAAAACCAAGAGAATTGGGGCAGCCACGGTGACCATATGTTCCTTTTTTTTTTTTTTTAAGTGATTAAAGGCAATTTTATTACAGCAGCATGTACTTACTTTATTCTAAAAGAATAGAATTCATAAACAGAAACAGCTTTTATATTTGTTTGCAACCTGCAAAATTGAGTTATTTTGCTGATATAAAATGCTAAGAACTCACTTAAGGACCATGCCACCTTCTGAAAAGGCCACATACCTACTTCTTAAATGTGTTAAAGTTACAGCGTGTCCCAGACTCGTCCAGAGCAAAATAAGCAAGCAACTGACTGCTCTTGACTATCCCTTCCCCAGCAATAGCACTGATTGTGATGGGAAAAGCCGCAGAGCAAGGCTGCACAGCCAGATGGAGGAGACTTTTCATTTAAAGGCAAAATACCAAAATGGCTCTCTGGTGTAAATGATTTCTACTTTCACACTCAGCTTGTACAGGATCCCCTAACCTTAATTTCTTTTTCCTTCCGGGGCTGATTTGGATTGACTTGTTGCGAATGGTATCCATTATTACTGAGTCAGGAGAGAAAGGGATTTCTGTGGTTACATGTAAACTTGTGATAGGTCTGCAGAAGTTACAGGTGAAGAAGGTAGTGAGGAAGTCAGCCACGATCCATCTATGTGAAGGTCACACCAGCTTCATTTACACTTTGAAGACTTTCTCAATGGCATTGACATAGGCAGCTGTTCTCAGGTCCAATCGCAGGTTATACTTCATGGCTGCGCACATAATTTGCCTGGCAGATCGCTCCATTGTGTACGCCAAGCCAGAATGCACGCAACGTGCACGGATGTGCTTTAGGTTGACTAGGATGAGGCCAGGTGGGCCCTGACCTGCAGGAAGGAGTAGAGGAGGGCACGGGGGAAGGTAAAGGAGCAGGTAAATATCAAAGACGCGTCCTCGTTCTTCTGTAATGGACTCGTAAGACAACTAACCTTTAAAATGGGTTACTTGGTGACTAGGTCACGTAAGACCATATGTGACCATATGGGCGGGTCTCACTCTAGTCTGGTCCTTACTCATTTGGTGCCAGGCTGTAGGGGGTCTTGGCTGGATGTCGGTGTGGGGGCTGGAGTGGGGGCTTCACTCTTAATCCTCCAGCAGTTTCTCTCTGGTGAGCCTGTGGTGGCCTTGCCCTGGGAATACACAGCCTGCCCCATCCCACAGATTCACAGTCAACTCCCACACTGCGGGGGCTGCTGCCCACATGGACCTTTCTTTCCGCGTCTCTGCTCCTTGGACTTCAGGGCTTCAACTGCATGGGCACCGGCCCTTCCTCCTTGGCAGAGTTGGACCATTGTATTTTGCTCAGACTGCAGCTGGTGACACTGCATTTTGGAAGCCTGCCTCAGCAGAGAGCTGGGAAGTAGGAGTTTATCTCCTAAGTTTCTTCTCTCTCAGGAATTACAGTCTGCACTGCTGGTTAACTGCTGCCTGAAAATGAGCGTCTCCTAAATCTCAACTGTATGGTTGATAGAGTAGCCAGTTTTGCATCACTCACTCCAGCAGGTTTCCCAGTGTGATTACATTGTCTATATTCAGTTCTGGTCTCTTCCCCAAAGTTTCTGGTTGATGCAACAGAAGTTGTGGTTTGAGGAGGTTTTTCGGGTACCACTCATGTCTGCTTCAGTGTGGAACTAATGAAGGGAGGCAGATATTAGGCAGGTGGAGCTAAAACTGCCTGCGCATCACCAATAAATTTGGGCAGGTTCCAAATGTAACAAGAGCTTGAAGAAGGTGCAATTAGTCATGAAACAAAGGGCCAAATAAAAAACATGAGCATCTACAACAGAAAACTGGGTTCCAGAAAACAGCCTTGAGGAAGAAAAACAAGGAAGACAACAGATGCGCGCGTCTGTGCTGTGGGGACGCCTGGGTCCAGGTATAAAGGCTGCCCAGGGAAGCTGTCCCCAGACATCACTGCCCTCCGCCTCGACCTTATCTAGCCACACACCACCATGTGCCATACCAGCTGCTCCTCAGGCTGCCAGCCAGCCTGCTGCGTGTCCAGTCCCTGCCAGGCATCCTGCTGCGTGCCTGTGGGCTGCCAGTCTTCCGTGTGTGTGCCCGTGAGCTTCAAGCCAGCCGTGTGTGTGCCTGTGAGCTGCCAGTCCTCCGTGTGCGTGCCTGTGAGCTGCAGGCCCGTCGTGTATGCGGCTCCCTCCTGCCAGTCCTCCGGGTGCTGCCAGCCCTCCTACACCAGCGTCCTCTGCAGACCCATCTCCTGCGGCATCCCTTCCTGCTGCTGACCACGAATCTCCAGACCCGCTGCTCCCAGTGCAGATGAGGCCACACCTGCACACTCCCCGGATGAATCCTCAGTTGGTCTTCTGCACATGGGGCAGGTGAAAAGCATGCTCGGTGAACCCTGTGAATTCTGGATCGAGAATATGACAGAATGATCTGGAGCCCTTGCTGACCTTGCCCATCCCTCCAGGGAAGTCCGGGGTCCCAGAGTCATTCTCTGACCCCATGAGAGCCAAATAAACCAGCTTTCCCTATGCAGCTCTGTGTTTCTGGTCTTTCTTTTTTATTTCCATACTCCCCGCTGTCTATTCTGCTGATTACATAGAATTTGCTGCTAAACCCTCTTCAGTGATCCCTTCACACAGTCCTCATCAGAAGGTGGTGTCCCGGGTGGAGGGCGTGGCTAAAGATGCCCATGTGGTCTCGCCCAAGACTCCCGGGGCCCAGTGCAGTGGCCACAGCAGTGACTTACCCTCCTATGGTGGAGTGAGTGGTCTTCCCCACTGGCTGTCCACTCCTGCTCCAGGCCAGCAAGCCCTCCACTGATGGCCAAAGCCTCAGAGCACCGAGGATCGGGTTTTCCCATGTGGTTGGTGGATGTCCTGTTCCCAGGTCGGGGAGGATCTCGGGTTTACAGAACTGGATTAGTTCTGCAGCACACACTCCCATCACTGGTCCACATATGGCACTTTTAAAAAATTGATACATAATATCTTTATGTATTTATGGGGTATATGTGATACTTTACACACAGAGGATATGTAATGATGAAATCAGGATATTCATTGCCTTGTCTATCATTTCTCCGTGTTGAGAACATTTTACACTCTCTCTTCCAGCTGATGTGAGACATATGATACATGGTTAACTGTAGTCACCCTATGCTGATATCAAATACTAGAACTTATTCTTTCTGTGTAACTGCATGTTTGTACCCATTAACCAAACTCACTTCCCCTCTAACACACACCCCTCTTCAACTCTGGTAATATCATTCTACTCTCTACTTCCACGAGATCAACTTTGTAAACTCCCACATGTGAGTGAGAACATGTAATATTTGTCTTCAGTGACCTTCGGTTCCATCCATGTTGCTGCAAATGGCACGACTTCGTTCTTTTTTATGGCCGAATAAGGTTCCATTGTGAATATATGCCACAGTATCTTGATTCATTTATTTATTGATAGACACTTAGGTTGAATCTGTATCTTTGCTATTGTGAATAGTGCTGCAATAAACATGGGGGTGCAGGTATCTTTTTGATACGCCAATTCCCTATCCTTTGAATAAATAGTAGCAGGATTGCTGGATAGTATGGTAGTTTTATTTTAGTTTTCTGAGAAAGCTCTGTACTGTTTTTGATAATGGCTGTACTAATTTACACTGCCACAAATGAAGTATGAGTTCTCTTTTCTCCACATCTTTACTGGCATCTGTTATTTTTTGTCTTTTTGATAATAGCCATTCTAATTGGGGTAAGATGATGCTATCTCATTCTAGTTTTGACTTCAGTTCCCTGATGATTAGTGATGTTGAGTTTTTTTCTTTTTTTGCATACCTGTTGGCCACTTGTATGTCTTCTTTTGGGAGATGCCTATTCAGGTGCTTTGCCCATTTATCAATGGAATTATTTGTTTTGTTTTTGTTGTTGTTGTTGAGTTGTTTGAGTTCCTTACCTATTCTGGATATTGGTCACTTTTCAGATGCATAGTTTACAATATTTTCTCCCATTAAACAGGTTGTCTCTTCACTCTGTTGATTGTTCCCTTTGCTGTGCAGAGCTTTTCAGTTTAATATAATCTCATTTGTCTATTTTGGTTTTTGTTGCCTGTGTTTTTGTAGTCTTAGCTATAAACTGTTTGCCTAGACCAATGTCCTGGAGCATTTCATTTGTGTTTTCTTCTGGTAGCTTTATGGTTTTCAGTCTTATGTTTAAGGCTTTGATCCATCTTGAGTTGATTTCTGTATATGATGAGAGGTAGGGATCCAGTTTCATTCTTCTGCATGTGGCTATCCAGTTTTCCCAGCACCATTTATTGAGGTTTTTTTTTTCTGTATTGTACATTCTTGGCACCTTTGTTGAAAATCAATTGGCTGTAAATATATGGATTTATTTCTGGGTTCTCTATTCTGTTCCATTGATCTATGTGTCTGGTTTTATACCAATACTATGCTGTTTAGCCTTGTAATATATTTTGAAGTCAAGTGGTGTGATGCCTACAGGTTTTTTTTGGTTCCATATGAGTTTTAGGACTGTTTTTTCTACTTCTGTGAAACATGTCATTGGCATTTTGATAGAGAATGCATTGAGTCTGTTGATTGCTTTGGGTAGTATGATCATTCTAACAATGTCATTTCTTCTGATCCATGAACATGGAATGTCTTTCCATTTGTTTGTGTCTTCTTCAATTTATTTTATCAGTGTTTTGTAGTTTTCCTTGCAGAGGTCTTTCACATCCTTGGTTATATTTATTGCCAGGTATTTTATTTTTAAAATAGCTATTGTGAATGAGATTGTGTTCCATGGTGGGCAGGTCTGTGTAAACCTACCCCCAAAGTTCAAGGAAGCTGAGAGGCCACAGAAAGAGGATGACAGATCCAGTTTCTCAGAAACAAACATTTAATAAGGACTTAAAACAGAAGCCATGTCTGTGACTTGGGTGGTGGTAAGATAAGTTGGCGGATCCCTGTGCCATTACCCCATCCACACCCAAGGCTTATATACCATAAGGAAAGGGCATATGTGATTTAGAAGGGCTCTGTAACCAATTGAAGTACAATAACATCAAGGTTGTTTTGAAGCAAGATTTATAGTATGTGCTCTTATACAACGAACAGTAGATTAAACTGGAAGTCTTAGAGGCCTTCCCAGAACAGGTTAACTAGAAGTCCATATGGCAGATTAGCATCCAAGATAGAGTTGTTTTAGCCTTCATGGATTGCCTTTTTGCTTACTTTGTCAACTAGTTTGTTATTGGTGTATCAAAACACTATTAATTTTTATATGTTGATTTGTATCCTGCAACTTTACTAAATTTGTTTATCAGTTCTAAGAGATTTTTTGTGGAGTCTTTAGGTTTTCCTAAATATAAAATCATGTCATGTGCAAAGAGGGACCATTTGACTTCCTCTGTTCCAATTGGGATGGCTTTTATTTCTATCTCTTACCTGATTGCACTGGCTTGGGCTTCCAGTACTATGTTGAATAGGTGTATTAGTCCATTCTTACATTGCTATAAAGATATACCTGAGACTGGGTAATTTATAAAGAAAAGAGGTTTAATTGGTTCATAGTTCTGCAGTCTATACAGGAACCATAGAGGCTTCTGCTTCTGGGGCAGCCTCAGGAAGCTTACAATCATGGCAGAAGGCAAGGGGGCACCAATGCTTCACATGTCTGGAGCGGTGTGGGGTGGTACAGGGTGCCACACACTTTTAAACAACCAGATCTCACAAGAACTCACTATTATGACAACACCTCCAACAGGGACAGTGCTAAACCATTCATGAGAAATGGCCCTCATGATCAAATCACCTCCCACCCGGCCCCCCCTCCAGCACTGGGGATTACAATTAAATATGAGATTTGGGTGGGGACACAGATCCAAACCATGTCAATAGGAGTGATTAAAATAGGCATCCTTGACACATGCACGTATGCCTCCGCTTACTCATGCCGCTATGGCAGCTCCCGCGTCCACCAGCAGCACCGTCTGCTCGACAGAGATGCTGTGGGCCTGTCAGTTATCAGGTGTGACCACTGCTGCCCAGAGTTGTCTCTGTGGGAAGTTTGTCCTCCGCCCACTGCGACCATGCCACAGATACTCTATTTCAGGCAGCTCTGGGTTGACTACTGGCAAAATTGCTGGAGCTGGCCTCTTCTTTGTTGGTGGAGGTATTGGTGGCACTATCCTGTATGCTAAATGGGATTCCCATTTCCGGGAAAGTCTGGAGAAAACCATACCTTACTCAGACAAACTCTTCGAGATGGTTCTTGGTTCCACACCTTATAATGTTCCATTGCCAAATAAATCGATTCAGTCTGGTCCACCAAAAATCTCTAGTGTATCAGAAGTAACGAAAAAATCTAAATAGCCTGCCTCACAACTCCAAAAGCAAAAGGGAGATACTCCAGCTTCATCAACAGCAGGTGATATGCTGTTGGTCCCTGGGGTTCAGCATGAGGAATCTTTAAAAACTGATCACCCTGAAATTGGTGAAGGAAAACCCACACCCCTCCACTTTCAGAAGAAGCATCCTCATCTTCTGTAAGGGAATGAGCACCTGAAGAAGTTGCAGCTTGCCTTGCACAACAGGAAAAACAAGAACAAGTTAAAATTGAGTCTCTAGCCAAGAGCTTAGAAGATGCTTTGAGGCAAACTCCAAGTGTCACTCTGCAGGCTATTTCAGCTCAGAACGCTGTGGTACAGGCTGTCAATGTGCACTCCAACATATTGAAAGCTGCCATGGACAATTCTGAGATTGAGGGCAAGAAGAAGTCTGCTAAGTGGCGCACAGTGCAGGATGCATTGAAAGAAGGCGGAAAGGCAGTAGAGGAAGCTGCTGATGCCCTTCTCAAAGCCAAAGAAGAGTTAAAGAAGATGAAAAGTGTGACTGAAAATGCAAAGAAAGAGGAGGTTGCTGGGGCCAAGCCTCATATAAACTTCACAACACGATAGTTGATCTGGATAATGTGATCAAAAAGGTCCAAGCAGCTCAATTTGAGGCTAAGGTTGTATCTCAGTATCATGAGCTGGTGGTCCAAGCTTGGGATGATTTCATTACTCCAGAAGTCCTTCCTGGGTGGAGAGGAACAAGTGTTTCTGACCTAGCAGACAAACTCTCTACTGATGATCTGAACTCCCTGATTGCTCATGCACATCGTCATATCGACCAGCTGAACAGAGGGCTAGCAGAACAGAAGGCCACAGAGAAGCAGCACATCACATTAGCCTTGGAGAAACAAAAGCTGGAAGAAAAGCAGGCATTTGACTCTGCAGTAGCAAAAGCATTAGAACATCGCAGAAGTAAAATGCAGGCTGAATAGGACAGAAAGATAGAGGAAGTCAGAGACGCCATGGAGAATGAAATGAGAACCCAGCTTCACTGACAGGCGGCTGCCCACACTGATCACTTGCAAGTTGTCCTTAGGGTACAAGAACAGGAACTGAAGTGTGAATTTGAGCAGAACCTGTCTGAGAAACTCTCGGAACAAGAATTACAGTTTTGTCGTCTCAGTCAAGAGCAAGTTGACAAC